CACGTCACATATACCAAGTTCATGTTCCCAAAATCAAAGAATGAATTGTAAGGAACAACTGATGTTAACAGTAGGAAAAATTTAATGAACAAGACAGCTCTTAAGAGATAGGAGGGGACCCAAAAGTGGGTCGTCAACAAGCCCACCTGTCAAAAGAAGTTTTATAGAGCAAAATCACAAGGTGGGTACAAAATCTTGAGGTGATATAACATGGGTCAAAACTGATCAGTAAGATTACAAGTGTAGTTGCTTAAGTAATATTGATTCAGTGGGGAAGCAAGTCACACCGTAAGTATACATGGAGAGAATAAATACCTTTCTGAATACCTTTTCAGGAAGGAGTGAATCAGGAGGTGTACTGGTTACCCACCTGGATGACTCATGTCTGTCTAGCCTTTATTGAACCAGGTGATACCGATTATAGTATATTGCTTATCCTTGGGGAGGCATGGAGGCTGGTCATTCCATCCTTATCTTGCGGCCTGGCCTGCAATAGATGCACCTCCAGCCACAGTTATTATGTGTTCTCATCATCTGCTCTGACTCCCTCGATGGGAGTAATACATCTACCTAAATTAACTGTCTATACTATTACTATAATAGTAAAAAATTTTAAATGTTGCAAATGTTAATAAACTTTAAAAAAATTAACATTTACAACATTTAATTTTTTTTTTTTTTTTTTTTTTTTTTTTTTTTTTTACTTTGTATATCCCCTCATCTGTGTCTTAGCCTGCACAGACTTGTATGGTCAGTTGAAAATATCTAGTTTATGTTCATGACTTTCTTATTTCTGGAGCAGGGATTGAGGCCCTTCCACACGTCTTCCATCCCCTCTTCTAAACCTTGTGATTCAGCTAATAATAATAATAATAATAATAATTAATAAAAAGAACCAATATGCTGATTAGGTGTAGTAACAGAGCAGAGAATTATTGAACAAGAAGGTAGGTCTAAAAACACTGTGCAGAAAGAGGCAGAGAAAGAAATGGAAAAAGAGAAGTTCAGTGATAATAAGGCTAGAATACACATTTAAAGTCTTTCATATAAGACAATGGTTATTTGGTACACACCTGTTAATTCCAGCTTTTGGGGAGGCTGGGGTGGAAAAATTACTAGTTTGAGGCCAGCCTTGGCAATTTAGTAAGAGAGAGAGGGAGAGGGAAGGTAAGAATGAGAATGCATTGAAGGATGGGACAAGGGGGTGGTCCAAAAGATAATAATTAAGAGTTTTCCTGATTTGAAGACACATACTGGGAACTTTGGCTTTAAAAGCACAGTTCACCCCCATTATGTGTAAATAAAAGTAGATGCAGGGTAGTGAAGATGCAGAGCGTAGTAGAAAAAAGAGGTCTTCAGAGCAAGCAGAGGAAAAAAACAGATCAACCTACAGCTACTGTAGAAGCCAGAACAGCATAAAACAATGTCTTGGAAATGATGAAAGAGAAACCAACCTAGAATTCTAAATCCTCCTAACCTATCATTCAAGAGTGAAGATGAAATAAACTTTTAATATAACCTAGGATTCTTCCACTAATGGATATTCGTTGATAGAATTTTGAAAAAGTATATTTCATTTGAAAGACGAAAGTTGAGCCTAGAAAAAAGGAATAAAAAGCAAAATGGCATAGAGAGCCAAGATTATGTGGGTAAATATAAATAAGAGTATTCTGTTAAATAATAATAAAAGTAACTGGTTGGATAATAAGGTAGAATAAAAATATTAGGTGATATAATGTATAAAATGGGGTAGGGTGATAGGAATAGTGGGTTTTAAAATATGCAACTTGTGCTTCATTTAAAAAATAATATATGCTACTTGTAGAGAAAAAGTTATTGAATAACAAACAGAATATACTTTCTCAGTGTAATCCAAGTAATGTACCTTTAATTAAACATAATAGTCTGATAGGGTTTTTGTTTTGTTTGTTTTTGTTTTATTGAGATAAGGTCTCACTGTGTTGTCTAGGCTGACCTCTAACACCTGGGCTCAAGTGGTCGAGCCTCAGCCTCCCAGGTAACTGGGGGGGCTGTAGGCATATTCTGAGTTTTATTTGGTTTATCCTTTATTTTACCCATTGTAAAAGGATCTCTTCTGGGAAAAAAAGTCAAGATGATTTCAAATATTACACTGTAGCGGGTGTAAGAGGAAATTGCCCTACCAGGCATCCATTGTTTTAAAGCTACAGTAATTAAGAAAGTGTGACATTAGTACAGGAATAGACCATTGAAATAGAATGTAGAGTCCAGAAATAAAATTACACTTGAGCAAAAAATGACATGGTGCATGTAAGGCTAGGAAAACTTGTTCATGAAATGGTACTGGAGGTATTGATTGATACAGAAAACAAATAACAATCCCTCTCTTACCTAACCAGATAAATTCCTCACCAGATAGATTCCCCAGACATAGCAGACAAAACCTTTATATTTTAAAAAGGAAAAAAATTCATCGTCATTGTATCTTGAATGACTGAAGGGACACTATAACCTACAGAGTAAAAGATAGATTAAATTTTATTGAAATAAAACATCTGTAACTCAAAAGACATCATAAAAAAGGTGACAATACAAAGCACAAATTAAAAAAAAGATCATAGTGACACCAGGCATGGTGGCACACACCTGTAATCTCAGTACTCTGTAGGCAGAAGCAGGATGATTGCTGTGAGTTGCAGGCTACCTTGGACTACATAGTGAGACCCTGTGTCAAAAACAAAAAAAAAATTAGGACTCTGAAATCAATAAAGGATTAGTATCAGAGTATGTAAATGAAACCCTATAAATCAGATAAAGAAGCAAATGAAATGATTGGCAGTCCATAGAAGAAGAATTTCAAATAGTCTGGAAAGAATACAAAAGAAGTTGCTCACAGTTACCCTGGCAACAGGGTATGATTTTATACCCATTAAACTGGCAAAAAGTTCATATTTAATATTACCAACTGTACTGAGCATATGAAACAATGTTAGTGACCTTTGTATAGTTACTAGGAGGGTGTCATAGTACATTAGGCTCGCTATAATGAAATGCCTTACACAGAGTTGATACATAAATAATAGAAATTATTTATCACTGTTTGGAGCCTGGGAAGTTGAAGCCTGGGTTCCATGTCTACTTCACTGCTGCACCTTCACAGGGTAGAAGAGGCTGAAGGGATTAACTGGCTCTCTCGAGCCCTGTGGGAAGGTCACTAATCATCTCCAAAAGACCCTGCCTCCTAATACCATCATTTTGAGGGTCAGGATTTAATACGAATCATTTAGACAGTAACAAAAGTACATAAAAGTGCAAAGGAAACTATGTTAAAATAATAATTGTTTTTTCAAAAGCTTATAATACAGTTTTCAGGTTTTTTTACATAGTAAGATCTACTGGGAAGTCTAGTAGCTACCATAATTTCAAGTGGTGATTAGCATAAATATTTTGAGATACCCATTTGCTATGTGACAGGAGTATATGTAGGTCTGTCAGTGACAAAACCATGGCTAATGCTATTTAGGTTTTATATATGTAATTCAAGAAAACATTAAATTTTAATTCAAGATTAACCAAAGATAAGGATGTTTTCACACAAGTTTGTAAATCTACCTTAACAGTGTTTGTGGACCACATATTAAAAACCCAGATCCTATAGACAGTTATATATACATACCCAAGAAGATTAACATTGAAGCTGAGGGTTGTGCACCAACCTGTAATCCCAGCACTCTGGGAAGCTGAGAGGCAGAAAGGTTGCAAGTTCTAGCCCAGCCCAGCCAATTTAGTGATTTAGCAAGACCTTGTCTCAAAATAAAGAAAAATAAGAAAAAGGACTGGGGATATATCTCAGTTTGAAGACCTTGGATTCCACTGCTAGTACTGGAAAAGAAAAAAATCGCACATTATTACAGTATTGTAGTGGCAACAAATGAGGAAGGACCTAAAGAGTCTTTAAAGGCCAGGCATAGTAGCGCACGCCTGTAATCCCAGCACTCAGGAGGCTGAGACAGAAGGATTGCTGCATTTGAGGCCAGCCTGGGATACAAAGTGAGTTCAAGGCCACCTGAAGTGCACAGTGAAACCCTGTGTCAAAAAGACCAAAAAAAAGTGATTATTGATTGTGTGGATTCTGATATATTCAGAGATTTCATAAAAGTACAAAAAGCCATTATATATGTAAATACCGGACAGTGACTATTCAAGTGTAAGGTGTAGGTATGAAGAAGGCAGACTACTTACATATGGGGGTCTTAATTTAGATCTATCATGTTTAAATATTTAACAGTATAACAGACCTATTTTATACCTGAAATAGTTCATGCTTACAGAAAGTTTTAAATTTAATTCACAGAACAATGAAAAATTTGTGTGTGTGAGGTGTTATCAAAGGGCAAATAACAAATTTCATGCATTCCGTACTTCATCTCAGGTAAGAGGCCAAGGGAGGATCAGATACTAAACATGTGATTAAAACATACTTACTAGATAATTAATGCAAAAATCCAATGAGGTGGTGTTAAAAATTTATAAAGAAGGGGCTGGGGATTTAGCTCAGCGGCAAGGTCGTGAGTTCAGTTCCCGGTACCGGAGAAAACCCCCCCCCCAAAAAAAAAATTTATAAAGAAAATTCTAATTAACGCAAAGATAGGACTATTAATTTTATTTAGATCTTTTCTGCTTCCCAGTTCAGTACCTATTCCTTGACATTAAATTGCTTATCTCTAGCTTTAAATCATCAATTTTGGAAGTCATGAGTTCACTCATATTACAAAATGTGACTGTATCTAAGACACATTAGCAGTAGGGATACTAAAATAATCTCAAGCATGGCTTTATAATCCAAAATTTTCTTAAACATACTTTAACCTGTTCACATGTTCTTAAGATTGTTTAATGAGAATTATAAGTAACTTCCGTGTTACTGTTTTAGTGGCATTGCTTATAATTTAACATTTTAATTTAACTATATGACATTTTTATCATTTTAACCCACATTCTGTTTTGGTTTTGGATTTTAGGATCGAAAGTTAACAAAGTCTGAAAGGCAGAGATTTAAAGAAGAGGCTGAAATGTTAAAGGGTCTTCAGCATCCCAATATTGTTCGATTTTATGATTCCTGGGAATCCACAGTGAAAGGAAAGAAATGCATCGTTTTGGTGACTGAACTTATGACATCTGGAACACTTAAAACGTAAGTTTGTCAGCATTATAAAAACAAACCAAGAAGTACAAGAAAATTTTTCCTATTTCAGCCCTACCAAATCTTTTACTGTGAAACCTGAGGAGGGAATAATCTTTCTGTTATTATACTAACATGTTTCCATGCCCACAGAATCTTTTGATGTATAAAGTAATTTGATAATTACTTATTGGTAACATTGAATTGAGACATTATTGCAGAGTAAACCTAGTTATCGAAAGTCATACTGGCATTTCTAAAATTGAATGACTAAGGGACCAGGAATCAAATGTCAGGGTTGCCCTCTAGTGGTAAAAATATTAAAGTTTGTTGGGAAACATCCCAATTATTTTATCACATTGTTTTGGTTTTTGCTGCATCTCTGCGACTGTTGTATCAACTATAGTTTATGCTGTGACAATTTTCACTAAACAATACTTATAGTCCCATTTCCCGTAGCATCATAAATTAAAGCCAAAATAGTTAGAACTGTCATCCCTTTCAGGGAAACACTTAATGTGCAGAAATTCCATTACCTATTTTAAAGGGCTTTAGATGAGAGTTGGAGTCTCATAGAATATCTGTATTCAGAGGGGTGCCTATTGTAAATTACATGGTATAAACTTGGTTTTGTGCTTTTTAAAGCTAATACTACTGAATTGATTAATCTCAGATCTTTTAGTCTTGGCATTTAGTCACTTACTTGAAGCTTTGAAACCTCCAGATTAACATGTGGAAAATCTAACAGATCATCATTTCTCTCCTACCTACTTAATTTCTCTAATAAACTTCTCCAACTTTGTTTATAGCATCACCTTTATCCTGCTCATGCAGGCTTCTTGTTATTTACATACCTGTTTTTTCCCACTGGATTTTACTTCCTGGCATTATCTAAATAAATTAAGGAAAAGTGGTAGCTGTCTTATTTTTTTGTGGGATGTTATTGCATATGGAGTTATTTTCATAATTTATTTTTCAGATTATTAATAGCTAATATATATGAATACAACTGATTTTTATATTGCCTTGCATTCACACAGCATTGCCATATTCTTAGTGTACGCATATGTTGCATTCTGTCTGGTATTTATTTTTTCCTTTCCAGTTTGGAGACCTTTCTTTTTCTGGCCTAATTGTTCTGGATAAAACTTTCAGTGCAATGTTAAATGACAGTTGTTATCCTCTTATTTTTGGTCTTAAGGTAGTCATGAGGGTCAGAGTTTTCAGTCTTTGAAAAATGAATATGATACTAGGTATGGATTTTTCCATTATTTTGTTGCTTTGAGAAAATTCTCTTATTCCTAATTTTCTGAATATTTTTATCATAGAGGGGTGTTACAAATTTTTTCAAATGCTCTATCAGTCGGGGTGGTCATGTGATATTTCCCTTTTTCTTTTAATATGGTAAATTATGCTAATTGATGTTCTTATTTTGAATCAGTGCAGCATTTCATGGATAAATCCCATTTGGTTGTGGTGTATAATTCTTACACTATGCAGTTGGATTTGATTTGCAATTGGATTTGATTTTTGATTATTTTGTTGAGGATTTTTGCATCTTTATTTATAAGGGATATTGGTCTGAGTTTTTGTGGTATCTTTGGTATCAGGGCAATACTGCCCTGCTAGAATGACTTACGAAGTATTTCCACTTCTACTGTTTGGAATAGTTTGACAAGGATTTGTATTAATTTCTCTTTAATTATTTAGTAGAACTCACTAAAGAAGCCATCTGATACTGTACTTGCCTTTGACAGGAGATTTTTTTGGAAGTCTTGTTTTATGCACTTACGTATACTCAGCTTTTGTTGGGCAGTTTATTTTATGTCTGTCTGTTACCTTTAAGTAGTTTATAGTACCCAAGTCTTCTACTTTCTTACTCATATTCTGTCTAGATGTCCTATCTATAATTAAAAATGGAATATGAAAGTCTCCAGATATTACTGCAGAACCTTTTGTAACATTTTTCAGTTCTGTCAGTATTTGTTTCATGTGTTAGGAGCTCTTTGTTTGTATGTTTGCAGTTAAAATATTTTTGTGATGAACTGACCCTTGAGAGGGTAGTGTATCATTTTGATTCCTCTTTCATTTCCTTTGGTGTATAATTTTCAGATATTTTTGTAATGGTTACCTTGAGGATCAGAAGATAAAATTTCTAACAGTCTAGTTAAAAAACCAACAGTAACTGATAATTGACTCTAGCTTCACTAGTATACAAAGTCTGCACCTGTGTAGTTGTACCCTCCTTTTATGTTTTTGTGACACATTTATCTTTGTACCTGTGTGCTTGTCTACAGCCATACCACCCTGAAACTTCCCGATATTGTCTGTACCTGTGTGCCTATTAACATACTTATAGTTATTATTTTAGGCATTTTGCCTTCTAAAATCATGTAGGAAATAAATTATAAATAAAAAATGCATTAATATTGATTTTAATATTTAACTAAGTAGTTATCTTTGCCAGAGATTGTATTTCTATGGTCTCAAGTTACTATCTAGGTCTTAGTCTATTCTGAATGATTCTCTAGCATTTCTTGTAGAGCTGCTGGACTGCTACTTTTCTTTATATGCAAATGCCTCAATTTCCCCTTCATTTGTGAAGTACAATTTTTGCTGGTTATAGAATTATTAATTGGCAGGGTTTGTGTCTTCCTTCAACACTTTGTGTCACCCTACTGTTGCCTGGCCTCCATAGTTTCTGCTGAGAATTTCTTTATATTCTTGTTGGGGTTACTTTGATTATGAGTAACTTCTTTTTTGCTGCTTTCAAAGTTTTCTTATAGTCTTTGTCTTTCAACAGTTTGAATATAATGTGTCTCGTGGATATTTATGCATTTATCTTTCTTGGGGTTTGTTGAGCTTTTTCACTGTTAGATTCGTGTTATTGATCAAATTTGAGAAAGTTGTGTCCATTCTCAACTATTCCTGTTCCTTTAGCTCCTCCTCTTCTGGAACTCTGTCTGTATATGTATTTTTGAGCTTGATGGTTGGGATCTTACAAGTCTTTTAGGCTCTTGTTTATTTTTCTTCATTCGTTTTTCTTTATGCTTCTCAAACTGGATCCATTCAGTTGAGCAATCTTAAAGTTTTGCCTGCTTTTTTTCTTTTTTAATATAGGGTCTCGCCATCCCTGCCTTGGACTCCCAAGATTGCAAGTATGTGCTACCATACTCAGCTAAGTTTGCTGCTGCTTCTGATTATTGAATCTGTAGTTACTGTGTTTTGTGGGTCCCAAATTTTTGTCTCCTTTTTAAATTTTTCTTTGTTGATATTTTCTTTTATTTTAGACCTTTAATACTTAGTCATTATTCTCAATGTTAGTTTTCCAGCTTTTGGAATAGTACTATAATTATCTCCATTTAACTATGAATTGATCTAAATATTTCAGCACCAAAAAGCTGGTAGCTGTAGCTCTGATTATGAGCATGGGACTTTTCTCAGAGTAAATAAAAATCAGTCATAATGAAGGACCCTATTTCTGAGATTTTTTTAAAATATCCTATATATGCTGATAGTACATGCTGTGCCTGGCTGCCACATTTCTCCCTCTAGATGATTGTCGTGGTTATAACTAAAAGTCTTACTGTTTGCATAACTTATTTTCACCCTATGTAGCTTCTCTATTTTTTCAAAATTTATTTTAAAAATAAAAGAAGGAAAACATATTTTAGTTTCTGTAAATTTGGAAAAATTCCATTTGTGGTTATACTAGGAATATGATCCCTTCTTGTATATAGTCTGTCTTGCAAACAGACCTATAATAATCTTGCTTATACATGTGTCCTGTAGACTAGGTCTCTAAAATGAAATGTGAATCAAAGCATATGTGATTTTCTTTTTAATAGCAGTTGTGAAGAGGATTCCCCCCCCCCCCTTTGGACTAGATAATCTTGAGAGTCTTTACCAAAATGGTAAGATTTAAACTAGGATATAAAGGATATACTGGTTTTCTATAAATGGAGAGATGCTTTGAGGAAATAAAATAGAGACTATAAAGTTAACTCTGTGAGCTAACCTTTTGGTTAAAAATGGGAAATTTATGGGGAGACATGACATAAGGCTCCCAATGTCATAAAATTTTTCAAGTATACAGAGACGTTTAAAGAATTATGATTAACAGCCACGTATTCACTCTTTAGTTTCTGTCATTATTAACTTTTTCTACTTTGCCTTTTCACATTATATCTGCCTGTTCATCCATCAAAAGTCTGTTGTGTTTACTCCCAAGTCAGTAATAATCAGTATGCTTCACCCATAAACACTTCAGGATGCATTTCATTAATTACAGTTCCAGCATTTAACTTTTCACCCCCACAGTGAAACTAACATACAGTAGAGTATAAATCACAATTGTATGGTCCACGGAGGTTTTTACTTTTTGTTTACAGTACTAAGGATTGAACCCATGTCTTTTTATCAATGAGCTACACCCTCAACCCTTCAAAATTTTACCTTGAGACAGGGTCTTGCTCAGTTGCCCATGCTGGCCTCAACCTTGTAATCCTCTGTATATCCTTGCCTTACGACAAAGGCATTCACTTTTGTAACCAAACCATTTCCATCATATTAGAAAATGCTTATGACCTTTTACAGGACTGTCCTCTACTCTCCAAAGGTAACTTTTGATGTGTTTTTTAAAGATAAAAAAATTTTAATTGATATATACAAATTGTACTTACTTAGAAGGTGGCAATGATGCTTCAGTACATGTGTACTTTGTATAACGTTCACATCAGGGTGAGCATATGAAACATTTATCATTTCTTCATGATAAAACATTCAAAATCCTTTCTTCTAGCTGTTTTCAAATCTACAGTACATTTTCATTATATAGTCATCCTACTGTGCATGAGAGTACTAGAACTTGTTTTTCCTATTGAACTATATAATGAGGTACCCATTGACCAACATTTCCTTATCCCTCCCTCCCAGCTTTCTGTAACCTCTAATAACCACTCTTTCACTCTGAATCTCTGTGAGATAAATGTTTTTTGTATTACACATGAGTG